GAGTGTTTGTTGTGGGGGAGGAAGGGAAAGGAGAATGTGAGCCGCTTTGAGACTCCTTAAAGGGAGTGAAAGGCGGGATATCAAATCCAAACTCTTCTTCTTCTTCTGCCAATGAGAAGGTCGGCGGTTCGAATCCCCGCGACGGGATGAGCTCCCATTGCTCGCCCTGGCTCCTGCCAACCTAGCAGTTCAAAAGCATGTCAAAGTGCAAGTAGATAAATAGCGACCACTCCGGCGGGAAGGTAAAAGGCGTTTCCGTGCGCTGCTCTGGTTTGCCAGAAGCGGCTTAGTCCTGCTGGCCACATGACCCGGAAGCTGTACGCCGGCTCCCTCAGCCAGGAAAGTGAGATGAGAGCTGCAACCCCAGAGTCGGCCACGACTGGACCTAATGGTCAGTGGTCCCTATATATATATATATTATATAATATATATATATATATATATATATATGCTTTCGTAGATTTTCACGGGTACAGGAATGCAGGTTTTGGTGTCCTCGGGTGTCTTCCCGTGTATAAAGTTGGGGTGTCTAGGCGACGTTTCGACGAGGTCTCACTCGGTCATCTTCAGGCTGGTGCTTTCGGCTTCTTGTTACTGGAACAGAGCTCTGTTTCCAGTAACAAGAAGCCGAAAGCACCAGCCTGAAGATGACGAGTGAGACCTCGTCGAAACGTCGCCTAGACACCCCAACTTTTACACGGGAAGACACCCGAGGACACCAAAACCTGCATATATATATATATATAATATTCCAAAGTAAAAACATTAATCCAGAGAGGAATAGAATGGAAACGGAATTAAAAGAGAGAAAGTAAGAGAGAGGAGAAAGAGTAAGAGACGGAGAGAGAGACTTTAGAAGGTAAGGATATCAGGATATATTTGTGGTGCTGCTGTGGTCACTTAACAAGCCAGGCTCCCTGGGGTGAGCATACCACAGACAGGGAGCCACCACAGAAAAGGCTGGTTCTCATCTTGTCACCCTCTGAACCAGTGGCGTAGCGTGGGTTGTCAGCACCCGGGGCAAGGCAAGTGATTTGCGCACCCTAGAGTGAGTGAGCCAGGTAGGGCAGAGAGCTGTGAGTGTGAGCGCGCCCCCCCAGATGTTGCGCCCGGTGCGGCTGGCCCCCTCTGCAACCACCACGCTACTCTCGGGGAGAGGGGACATAGAGAAGGGCCTTGGGTGATCCTAGTGTTGGGAAATGAAATTGTCAGGGAGGCAGATTCTGAGTTCCAACAGATGCTGGGGAAATCGAAGCCTCCAGGACTACTATCTCTCTCCTTTGAGGAGAGTTCATCTTCTCTTGGAAGGCATCACCCAAGCCTTCAGTCTGGCTTGATGCCTCTATGACAGACGCCCACTGTGGTTTCTCTCTCAACCATTTTTTGCCCACATACTCTTAATCTGATTTTCAGGCTCCAGGTCATGGATTTCTTCACAAGTGTGCACATCCTTTATATATAATGCTACTCCTCCTCCCTTCCTGTTTGGTCTGTTCCTTTTGAACAGGTTATACACCTCAATTCCACATTCCAGTCATGAGTCTCATCCCACCAGGTCCCAGTCATGCCTATAACAGGAGTCAGCAACCTTTTTCAGCCATGGGCTGCTTCACCGTCCCTCAAACCATGTGGGGGGACGGACTATATTTTGGAAACAAGAAAAAAGACCAAATTCCCATGCCCCACAACCGAGAGATGCATTTTAAATAAAAGGACACATTATACTCATGTAAAAACACACTGATTCCTGGACCATCCACAGGCCGGATTGAGAAGGCGATTGGGCCGCATCCGGCCCCCGGGCTTTAGGTTGCCTACCCCTGGCCTATGTGGTCAAATCTGCCATCCTGTCTTAAGAGCTCTGCTTCTTTCCCATCCTCTGGGACAGGCATGTGTACATGCAAACCTGGCAGACTTTCATCTTGGTATTGGCAGTTAGCATCAGATTCTCCCAGACTCTCTTGGATCACTCCCTATTGAATTTTACATGGAAATTCGGGATAATCCTGTATTCTACAAAACAGGAGTCCCAAGCAGGCGGCATCTTCCGGGCCGGGAGCCGCCCTCCGCTTTGCCTCCTGCCCTTGTTAACGGAGAAATCTGAGGGCTCCCTTGGATAAAAAACAAGGACCCCAGCCCGGAATACCAGAGCAAAAGAGCAGCCAGCAGGCTTGGTCTTGATTGAAGACTGTTGCCACAGACTCCCACCTGCCACCAGGTGGAACAAGATGGAAGCCCCGAACAACAGAGCCCCCAATCTTTTATTAGCTGCTAATCTCCATGTTACACCCCCCAACTACATCAATGAAAGGGGAGGTCTGGTGGCAGTAATCTGAGCATCCTGGACCCTGCCCCATGGTTCCTCTTGCCCTCCACCAAACACCCATCAAGTGTAACAAAAAAAAGATATTTCTATTTCCCTGTTTCCCAGCCAAGTTCATCCCACCCATATGTCAGGAGTGCTCTGATGGTGTTTCCTGCTTGGCAGGGGGTTGGACTCGATGGCCCTTGTGGTCTCTTCCAACTCTATGATTCTATGATTCTATGATTCACCCTTTTGTCTTCATCTGGGTTTGTTCTTTCTGGAATGGCTAACTGTCTGGCACTCAGGTCTCAGGATGCCAGGTATTGTGGTATCGTGGTATCGTGCAGCAGAGTCCCATTGAAGAGACAGGAAGAAACTGCGACAAAGTGTTTTGTGGGGACAAGTCACAAAAGTCACAAAAGTGATTGTGCTGGTTTTGGTAGTGGGCTGCATGTGCATGAGATCTGCTGGAGGGGCAAACCCCCCCCAACCTGTACCTAAATTCCTGCAACACCCTGCACATCCCGGGGGGGCAGGGGGCTCCTCTTTCCCCCTCTCGGCTCCTGGCTGGGCTCCTTTTCCTCCTCAGGCCCCCAGGCTCCCCCAAACGAGGGAACAGCTGGGCGCGCCATTGTGGGCACAGGATCCTGGGCCGGATGGGCCTCCTTTGGCGTGATGCACCTGCCTCAGAGCTCTTCTTGCACGGAGCCTCCAGGGCCAGAGCCAGTCTACCTTAGCGGGCACAAGGCGCTCTCCTCCTGGGTGCCACTGTGGGCACAGGATCCTGGGCCGGATGTGTCCCCCTTGGCACGATGCAGCTGCCCCAGGGCTCTTCCTGGTTTCTGAGGAGTCCTGCATGGAGCCTCCATGGCCAGAGCCAGTCTACCTTAGAGCGGCAGAGCACAAGGGGGGAGGAAGGCGCTCTCCTCCTGCTTGGGGCGCCTGGGTGCCACTGTGGGCACAGGATCCTGGGCCGGATGTGTCCCCTTTGGTGCGATGCCCCTGCCTCAGAGCTCTTCCTGCATGGAGCCTCCAGGGCCAGAGCCAGTCTACCTTAGAGGGCAAAAGGCGCTCTCCTCCAGCTTGGGGCGCCTGGGTGCCGGATTCTTAGACCTCCCCTAGACTGTCCCCGGGACCGGGGAGGCTGCTGCTCCCTCATTTTCAAATCTGAAAGTGGACAGCTATGGCAGGATCCTGGGCCGGATGGGTCCCCTTGGCATGATGCACCTGCCTTGGGGCTCTTCCTGGTTTCTGAGGAGTCCTGCATGGAGCCTCCATGGCCAGAGCCAGTCTACCTTAGAGCGGCAGAGCACAAGGGGGGAGGAAGGTGCTCTCCTCCTGCTTGGGGCGCCTCGGTGCCACTGTGGGCACAGGATCCTGGGCTGGATGGGTCTCCTTTGGCGTGATGCACCTGCCCCAGGGCTCTTCCTGCATGGAGCCTCCAGGGCCAGAGCCAGTCTACCTTAGAATGGCAGAGCACAAGGCAGGGAGGAAGATGCTCTCCTTCTGCTTGGGGGCACAGGGTCCTGGGCCGGATGGGTCTCCTTTGGCGCAATGCCCCTGCCTCAGGGCTCTTCTTGCACGGAGCCTCCCTGGCCAGAGCCAGTCTACCTCAGAGTGGCAGAGCACAAGGTGGGGAGAGGGTGCCCTCTTCCTGCTTGGGGTGCCTGGGTGCTACTGTGGGCGCAGGATCCTGGGCCGGATGGGTCTCCTTTGGCGTGATGCACCTGCCTCAGGGCTCTTCCTGCACGGAGCCTCCAGGGCCAGAGCCAGTCTACCTTAGCGGGCACAAGGCGCTCTCCTCCTGCTTGGGGCGCCTGAGTGCCGGATTGTTAGACATCCCATAGACCAGGGGTCTGCAACCTTTAAGACAAAAAGAGCCACTTGGACCCGTTTCCGAAGAAAAAACAACAACTGGGAGCCGCAAAACCATTGCGACATTTAAAACAAATATATCTCCGGAGCCACGATCTGACAGCGGGCGGGAAGGTGACGTCGGGACGGTGCGTGACTAACGCACGCACTGCCCCCATGCGACGTCACAGCCAGTACAGCGCCCGCCACAGTGGGGAGTGTCGGGGCGCACAATGCGCCTCCTCCCCTCGCTAGTATCCGCCCCGGAGCCGTAGCAAAGATGTAAAAGAGCCACATGCGGCTCCAGAGCCACAGGTTGCAGATCCCTGCCATAGACTGTCCCTGGGACAGGGGAGGCTGCTGATCCCTCATTTTCAAATCTGAAAGTTGACAGCTATGGCAGGATCCTGGGCCGGATGGGTCCCCTTTGGCTCCATGCAGCTGCCTCAGGGCTCTTCCTGGTTTCTAAGGAGTCCTGCATGGAGCCTCCAGGGCCAGAGCCAGTCTACCTTAGAGGGCCAAAGGCGCTCTCCTCCTGCATGGAGCCTCCCACTGCGATCCCGGATTCTTAGACCTCCCCTAGCCTGTCCCCGGGACCGGGGAGGCTGCTGCTCCCTTGTCCGCTCTGGCCCTGCCGGACTGGAGCCCTGGCCCCCGAGGCCGGACACTGCACCCCCTCCAGGCCCCCCCGCCCTGCCTTCTGCCCTGCCCATCCCGGGGGGGGGAGGGGGGCTCCTCTTTCTCCTTCTCGGCTCCCCCCAAAGGAGACCAGCTGGGCGCGCCAGGCTAGGCAAGGGTTAAGAGCAGCTGAGCCCCTTTCCTAGAGAGGACAGGAAGTGACGGAGGCGGGTCTTCCGGAGCCCCTCCCCGGCCCCCCTCTTGTCTCCTCCGGTGAGTCTCCTCTCCCCCTCGGGGTCCCGGGATGCAGGGGGTCCTATTGGGGGGGGGCTCCTGCAGGGAGGGGCAGGCAGGGCTTGGCAAAGGGGGGGCGAGGGGGTTTCTCCAGCTGGGGTCCCCAGACTACAACTCCCCTCATCCCTGAGCCCTGGCCTGTGGGGAAGGCAGGCAGGCAGGCAGGCAGGCAGGCAGACGGATGCACGGACAGGCGTCCCATGGGGGGCTGAGTCTGGGGCAGGAGAGGGAGAAGCCGGGGGAAGACCCTCTGAACCAGAGCTGCCCACCTTCAGATGGGAAAAGAAGGGGGGATCCGCAGCCTCGAAAAGAAGGGATCCACAGCCTCGAAAAGAAGGGATCCGCAGCCTCGAAAAGAAGGGATCCGCAGCCTCGAAAAGAAGGGATCCGCAGCCTCGAAAAGAAGGGATCCGCAGCCTCGAAATGAAGGGATCCGCAGCCTCGAAAAGAAGGGATCCGCAGCCTCGAAAAGAAGGGATCCGCAGCCTCGAAAAGAAGGGATCCGCAGCCTCGAAAAGAAGGGATCCGCAGCCTCGAAAAGAAGGGATCCGCAGCCTCGAAAAGAAGGGATCCGCAGCCTCGAAAAGAAGGGATCCGCAGCCTCGAAAAGAAGGGATCCGCAGCCTCGAAAAGAAGGGATCCGCAGCCTCCCCTGTCCTGGGGACAGTCGACGGGAGATCTAACAATCCGGGATGGCAGCGGGAAGCGGCGCTGGAATAAGGGAATTTCCTGCAAAAAGGGGGAGGCTGACAGCTATGGTCTGACCGGGGTCTCCTTCCCGTCAGGAGGGGAGAAGAGGATCCCGAAGGAGAAGGGGATCACGAGGTCGGTGAGCTTATTGGGAAAGACCTAAGAGAGTCGGGTCAAGGACGAAAAGCTCCCTTCTCTGGAGGCAAAGAATGAGGCGGCGCCCAAAGCTTTTCACGGAAATGCTTGCCATTACGGTAGCCTTTCTAGGCCTTTCAAACCATGGGTAGGAAAATGTTGCACCCGAGCCGGGACGAAAAGGAGCCAAGCGACACCAAGGGAAAGAGTTTTTATTCTGCCAACCCGGGTGGGCAGAGGAGCAAGTGTGATAAGTCACAAAACAAGCCCAAAGTTCACAGCCATTGCACATAGTTTTTATATCCCCTTCCAGTTCCCTCCCCTTTCCTCCTCCTCCTTCAAGAGTCCTGCCCATGAGTTCCTCTGAGCATGAACAGAAAGCTCCTGTCTTGGGACCATTTTTGGACTTTTCCCAGAAAGGGGGTGAGAGGGTTTCAGTGTGTTCCCGTTGTTTCCTTCTGGTGCTCTGGCCTGCTTCCCGGACAGAAAGCAAGTTGCAAGGTGGTTCTTTAGCCAGGCCAAAGGCCTGAGAAGACAAGGGACTCTGTTCTCTCCCTGGTTGCCCTCTTTTCCAGTTCCAGCAAGCGGAATGCTGAGCTAAGGCTTTTTGTCTGAGAGGAAAATGCAGTTTTTAAAATGCTAGAGGCGAGGCTCTTCAGGCCTGGCTGGGGGGGGGATTCACAGACAGTTTTAGGGCTTTTTGGGGTAACCCTAACTGTTCCCCTTCATTACTAGGGAAAGGAGCAGCAACGCCGGGAAGCATTTGGCCCCCTCTTTGCCCCCCCTCAACATCTCCCTCAAGTGGAAGAACCGATTTCGAGAGACGCTGTGCCTGTGTTTCGGCCTGTGACATCTTTCCGTTTAGTTGAATAATAACTTAACTTCCACCTGAAAGAATGCCTCTCCTGACCCAACTTTCTCTCACCAACATTTTGTGTTTTTAAAAAAAGCTTTTCTGGTTTGACCAACTCCTGCCTCAGACTGCAAATCACGAGGTTTTCCCTCACACAAGAGCTCCCCCCCCCTCAGCATCCTGTGGCAAAGGGTAGAAATTTGGTGGGTCACCGATAATGAGTGAGTCTGCGACATATGAGTTGGTGCGTAGCGGTGGGCTCTGCTCCAGAGGCTCCTCAGAGATTGGGGTCCCAGTGAACCCCTCATGTCAGCACCTTGAACGGAGCCCCATTGTTGTGGGGACTCAGTGAGGAGGGGTAGAAATGCCATTAATAAAGGGAGCCCAGCCAATCACCTGGGAGCTGCCAGATGGGTCTGGCATGACGTGTTTTCGAGAAACCCCTGCTGGGTCTTAGTGATCACAGCATCCTTTTCTCAGTCCTCACAGACTGACGGTTTAATGATCTCTTCTAGGACCTTCCCTGGTTGCCCGGTATCAATCTCAAGCTCACCGGTCAGTAGTTTTTCCTGTTTTTGAAGATGGGGACAATATTTGCCCCCTCCAGTCTGCAGGAGCCTCTCCTGTTCTCCAGGAATCCTCAGAGCTCTAGATGAAGGCTCTGAGATTACATCCGCAAGCTCCTTCAGTCCCTTGGATGCAGCTCAGCAGGTCCTGGAGGTCTGAATTCACTTGAAGAAGCCAGGTGTCCAGTTCCTCCCTCTTTTCCGATCCTGGACTGCAGCTCCCTCCTTACATCACTTTCCTTATGCAGCCACACTGTTTTCCTTAGATGCCTCTCACTTTTCTTTCCGGTTGGGACTGCCCGCATTTGGGCCTTCAATATTTCACCTTGAAGAAGCTCCCATTTCTTTCAGTATTTCAGAACATAGGATCTCGCCCAGTATCTCCTTAAGTTTCTTTTAATTGGCCGCCTTAAAGTGAATTCCTGACTACACTCAGCTTGCGTTTCCCTCTGTCTCAGGGGAGGACATGATCACTTCCTCCCAAGTTTCCCAGTACTTCCACTTGGTTGATCAGTTCCCATCTGTTGTTGAGGACTAGGTCCAAGACAGATGATCCCCTTCTTGTTTCTTCCACCTTCTGGGTCATGAAATTGTCAGTGAGGCAATTCTCCATGGTCGCTTTCCTTAGACCAGGGCTAGACGCTTCCTTCTCTTTCCTCTTCCTTTTTTCCTGTTAATGAAGGTTCAGAGTCAGGGCAGTGGTGCAGTCCAGCCCTGGTTCCTAGCAAGACTCTGTTGGGATTCGCAGGATACTGGATAAGTCTGCAGGCTTCAACAGGATGATGCAATACTCTGCTGGGTCAGAGTGACTCAGCAGGAGTGTGATTAGTGTAATTGGCTATCACCTGTTTTAAAAAGGAAAGCCTGTTTAACAGGGAGTGTGGTGGTTGTGCTGTAGTGTGGTGGTGCTGTGGTGGAGAGTATTCGTTTGTAAGTACTCTGTATGGACTGTTTCTTTTGTAATGCCTGCATATAACTCACATTAAAAAGGACTGCACTGAAAAACCTGGAACTCTTAGTGCTTTGCTGAAAACGCCGCGTGGAATACGCGACAGGGTTATGGGCCCAGCACGCTTCCGCTGCGCAAGAGTACAGGTGGCAGTTATCTAGCCGTGGGTGCTGGAGGTGAGCTGCAGGGATGGAGCAGTCCAGAACTGGCGTGTTGCTGGAGAAGCTGACGGCCACGAACTACAGCATCTGGTCGGTCCGCATGCAACACTTCCTCAAGGGTGAGGGCCTGTGGAAAGTGGTGGAAGAGCCACCGCAGCCCCCTGAGGAGGATGAGGACGACGATGAAAAGCTGGCACTAGCAGAGGCCCAGCTTGAAAAGGATGAGAAAGCTTTGGCTACGATCATCCTTGGAGTGGACGACAGCCAGCTAGTCTACGTAACTGATAAGGTGACGGCAAGTGAGGCGTGGAATGCGCTCAAGGCTGTCCATGTGCGAGAGACAGCTGGCTCACTGATAACACTGACCAGGAGACTGTACCGGTGTCGGAAGAAACCGGGGGACTCCCTGGTAAACCACCTAAAATTCCTAACAGGCTGTTTCCAGGAGCTAGCCTTAAGAGGGAGGCCTGTGGGGGAAGAGGACAAAGTCTTTATAGTCCTGAGTTCCCTTGATGACAGCTATGATATGCTGGTCAACTCCCTCGAGTCTGTAGAGACTGATAAGCTGACTCTGGAATACGTGACCGGACGGTTGTATGCGGAGGAGGACAGGCGTGCAGAGCGAAAGATGACCTCAGCCCAGCTGTTGGAGCATCCCAGAGGGAACAACAGCCGGGAAGAGCAGAGGTGTCGGGAGCCGGAGAAACAGCCAGGAGGAGCTGCTGCAGACCAGCCAGTGGTCAACAAAGTAAAAAGGTGTTTTTGCTGCAAGTCCAGTGGACATCTGCTGCGGGACTGCCCGAGAAAGCAACAAAAACAGCAGAAGCACAAGTGGCAGCAGAGGGAGTCTACCGCTTGGGTGTCTGCAGATGGTCAAGAAAATGAGGAGCTGTGGGTTCTGGACAGTGGAGCTTCTCAAACCTTTTGTAAAAGAAAAGGATTGCTAACTGATGCTAGGGCTTCAAACAAAAAACATGTAAGTCTTGCTACGGGCCAGAAAGCTAATGTGGTTTGTGAGGGGGAGGTTGTGTTCCCACAGCTGGGACACACATTCAGGAATGTGTTGTGTGTGCCTAATTTGCAAAACAATCTCCTGAGCATTCCTGATTTGGCAAAAGCAGGCTTTGAAGTAAGTTTTGTGGGAGATCAGTGCCAGATAAAGCAAAATGGGGCAGTGTTGGCAAATGCTAGCCTTAGAACTAATATGTATGTACTGCAGTGTGAATCTAAGGTTGCAAATGTGCAAAATGTCCCGACCCATGATATGTGTATTCATCTCCTGCACAGGCGTCTGGCTCATGCTAGCTATAAGGTGCTAAACAAAACATTGGAGTTGTGTGGGGGGATGAAAAACATAAAAAGTTGTGATAATTACTTAGACTGCAATATCTGCAAGGAGGTTAAAAGCAGGGCTTGCCCAGTAGCAAGAGCAAGCCAGAGAGAAACCAAAAAACCACTGGAGTTGATTCATGCTGATGTAACTGGTCCTTTTCCACCTAGTGTCTCCCACAACAAATACTGTTTGATCCTAGTGGATGACTATTCTAGATTTGGCTGGGTCTATCCATTAAAGCAAAAGTCTGACGTTGCCCAAACTTTGAAGTTCTGGGTAAGAAGGGTAGAAAGGCAACTTGGTGAAAAGGTGTCCTCTATTCAATCAGACAGGGGAGGGGAGTTTATGGCAAGCTCCCTAAGAAACTGGTTGCGTACCCAAGGGATTAAACATAGGCTTACCAATGTGGCCACGCCTCAGGAGAACGGAGTAGCAGAGCGTAGGGGAGGTGTCTTGCAGACACAAATGAAAGCATTGTTAGCAGATGCAAATCTTCCAATTAAGTACTGGGCTGAAAGTATTAAGACCGCAAATTATATTGGGAATCGCTTGTGGTCAAGGGTACTAGATGATATACCCTATAAAATTCTCTATAACAAAAGTCCCAGTTTGCAACATTTAAGAATCTTTGGGACAAAGGCATGGGTTGACATACCTGTGAAAAACCGAAGAAAAGGTGGGAAAAGGGCACAGCAGTTGCTATTTCTTGGGTATGAAAGTGGTACGAAAGCCTACAGGTTTGAAGATGATAAAAACCTTTTGAGTTATAGTCGATCAGCCAGCTTTAATGAGCAAAGAAATTGGCCCAAGATACATGCAAACCTGCTGCCAGAAAAAGTTTTACTGCCGAGCATACCTGATAAGGCAGTTGAAACAAAGCTAAGAATTGGCAGCTCTCCCAGAGAAACTGAAAGGGAGGAGGTAAAGGTTGAGCATTTTTCTCCAGCTGCTAGCATGGAGCAGGGGAGAGAAGAAAGTGCAACAGGGACAGGAGGAGGTAGATCTCCAGAGTCAATCCACCCCAAAAGCAGTCCTGAAAGTAGCCCAGGGGGTGAGATTAATGAACCAAGGAGGTCTGCAAGAAGTAATAAAGGTCAACCTCCAGACCGTTATGGGTTCCCAGCCACCATAAACCAGGTTTGTGTAACTGAGCCAGAAAACTTTGAAGAAGTGCAAGAGTTACCTACTCTAGAGAAAGAGGCGTGGTTAAAGGCAATGCAGGCAGAGTATAACTCTCTGCTAAACAACAATGTCTTTGTGCCTACAGAATTGCCTGAAGGTAAAAAGCCCATAAGCTGTAAGTGGGTTTTTAAAGTGAAAAAGCTGGCTGATGGTAGTTGTCAGAGGAAAGCCAGGTTGGTTGCACGGGGCTTTACACAGAGGAAAATGATACATTATGATGAAGTGTTTGCCCCAACAGCAAAGGCTGAAACAGTAAAATCAGTTTTAGCAATGGCAAGTCTGAGAGGGTTAAAAGTTAATCATTTTGATGTTGCCTCAGCATATTTAAATGCTCCTATTGATGCCGAGGTATATTTACAGCAAATACCAGGTTATGAGCTGGAAAAAGACAGCATGGTGTTAAAACTGCAAAGGGCACTATACGGTTTACACCAAAGTGCACGTCTATGGCATGAATGCATAGACACAACTTTGAAAAAGATGGGATTCAAACAAAGCCTGGCTGATTCCTGTTTATATTCAGCAATGGTGCAAGGAAGTGTTTGTTATTTACTTTTGTATGTTGACGATATTTGTCTAATAACAACTGCACAAAAGCAAGTGTCTTGGTTTATAAACAGCCTAGGTAACAAATACAAACTGAAGTATTTGGGAGAGATTAAGAATTACTTAGGAGTAGAGGTTCAGAGAAATGAAGAGGGCGTTTACTCTCTGAGTCAGAAGGAAAAAATCGAAAAGTTACTGAAGACATATGGAATGGAGAGGGCAAATGAGGTTGACACTCCCATAACTACCCAGTACAAAAATGAACCAGAAGGGCAAAAATGTGAGAATGCAACAGCGTTTCATTCTCTGTTGGGTTCGCTGTTATATTTAAGTTGTTGGACAAGACCCGACATAACATTGGCAGTGCACATGTTAAGCCAAAGAAGTGCAGACCCGGCTCAGAGAGATTGGGTAGCACTTAAAAGAATCCTAAGGTATCTGAAAGGCACAAAAGATTACAAACTGGTGCTGGATACAGGACATGATCAGCAAGTGTATGCATACGCTGATGCCAGCTGGGGAGACAGAGAGAATGGAAAGTCTACCACTGGCTATGCCATATATATTGGAAATGCCCTGGTTCAGTGGAAATCCCAGAAACAAACATTTGTTGCCACAAGTACTTGTGAAGCAGAGTACTCAGCCATAAGCGAATGTGTATCACAAATAGAGTGGTTTGCTTGCCTAACAAAAGAGCTTGGAATACCTTCTGAAATGCCAATCACTGTGCTAAGTGACAACATGGCTGCACAACAGCTTGCCAACCAACAGAACTTTAAGAGCAAGAGTAAACATATTGCGATAAGATACGGAAATGTGAAAAATGCTTTGGAAAGAAATGTGTTAAAGGTACAGCACTGTAACACAAAATGTAATGTGGCAGATTTGTATACAAAATGTTTGGATGCTCCTAAATTTCGAGACTTAAGAGAATTATTGGGTCTCAAGCCTTTGACTTAAGGAGGAGTGTTGGGATTCGCAGGATACTGGATAAGTCTGCAGGCTTCAACAGGATGATGCAATACTCTGCTGGGTCAGAGTGACTCAGCAGGAGTGTGATTAGTGTAATTGGCTATCACCTGTTTTAAAAAGGAAAGCCTGTTTAACAGGGAGTGTGGTGGTTGTGCTGTAGTGTGGTGGTGCTGTGGTGGAGAGTATTCGTTTGTAAGTACTCTGTATGGACTGTTTCTTTTGTAATGCCTGCATATAACTCACATTAAAAAGGACTGCACTGAAAAACCTGGAACTCTTAGTGCTTTGCTGAAAACGCCGCGTGGAATACGCGACAGACTCAGCCACGCTTGCTCAGGAAACATTTCTCTTCTCCTGACCATGTATCAGTCTGATAACAGACCAATATGTTTGCTTTGTAGGCTTTGCTAGCACCTCTAAATCGGACCATCAGAACTTGGCAGAAAACGAAAGGATTCCTTCCGATCTCTTGGAGGCTTCATGAGAGCCCAGATGGATGAGCAAGACTCAGCTGGCCCTGAAGCAGGAGGAGGCCCTGCCCTCCAAACTGGGAGCAGTGGGGGATTATGGGAAAACTCAGTGCAAAAGATCCCGGGTGAGGAGGACACCCTCTGCTCAGAGGTGCAGAGCCAGCAGTTGACGCAGTTCTGCTCTCAGGAGGCCAAAGGACCCCGAGAGGCTTGCGGCCGACTCCACCACCTTGACTGTCGGTGGCTGAAGCCAGAAAGTCATACGAAAGCTCAGATGCTGGACCTGGTGATCTTGGAGCAGTTCCTGGCTGTCCTTCCGCTGGAGATGGAGAGCTGGGTGAGGGAATGTGGAGCAGAGACCAGTTCCCAGGCTGTAGCCCTGGCCGAAGGTTTCCTCCTGAGTCAGGCAGAGGAGAGGAAGCAGGCAGAGCAGCAGGTGAGAGAGACTTTCCTCTGGAAACTCCCAAGGGGCTCCAAGCAAGACAGGGAGCCTTCCAAGATGCTCTCCTAACGGCTCGCCCTCTTTGGAGAAGCAAGGCATGAGATCTGCTCCCCTAAAGTGTTTGCTCCGATCATTCCTTTTCTAATCCTTCTCCCCATTCTCTGTTTTGAACCCTTGTTACTCTTTCAGAGAAAGGATCTCTTTGCGGAAATGGGCCTGGATTCCTGTGAGGCAGAAAAGACTCCGTTGGACGCCAGAGGGAGGCCACTGGGTAAGGAGGAACTCGTCTTTCTTCTCATTCTGTGGATCTTGAAACTAATCTTTGGGGTCTGTTCATCTTTAGGGGGGGAGGCACTTGGGGCCAAGAGCCCAAAGGAGGGCAGATGTATTTTGAAGAACACAAAATTGAAATGGGTACAATGTCAAAATGCACTCAACAAGCAAGACCTTTTCCATGGCACATCTATGGCACTTATCTCTAAGTGCTGAACCTCTAGTTACAAGTAGGTAGCCGTCTTGGTCTGCCGTAGTTGAAACAATATAAAAAAAATCATTCTAGTAGCACCTCATAGACTAATTAAGTTTGTTATTGGTATGAGCTTTCATGTGCATGCACACTTCTTCAGATACACTGAAACAGGTTTCTGAAAGAGACTTCTGTTTCAGTGTGTCTGAAGAAGTGAGAGACGCAGGACCTGATGGCTTCCCTTTGACTTTTGTCTCTCGCAGATGACCGAAGGATGCCCCCCAGACCTCCTCATCCATCTTTTCATGAGAACGGAGGAGAAGCAGCAGCTGTGGAAACAGATCTGGTATGGGGAAAGAGCTTTGTGGGGAAAGAGTCAGAGGAGTGGGGCAGCCAGGGAGCCTCTGGGCCGGAAAGAATTTCTCCTCCTCTTGGCTTCTGTCAAAGGCTCTGTCCTGAATAAAGATGGACAATGCCATTCAAGAAGCTCTATGTGCTGACAGGAATGAACAGCCACCTCACCTCAGCTATCCTTCTTAATTTCTCTGTATTTATCAGTAGCTGCAGTCATATTTCTATATTTATCAAAAAAGGCTTCTAAGCTGTGGTCAGAATTAAGTAGCCCCATCAGCTGCTGGAGACCCCCCCCCCTGTGCCCCCATGAGCTCCATGAAGTTGGCTGTAGGGCACACGGAGAGTTCCATCGCCCCCCAAGCATCGCACAGCGGGAGTAGAGAAGGGATCATTCTGTCTATCAAACAGGAATGCTTCCACAGACAGAATAATTTGAAGAACACCATGTGGAGTTCCACCCATGCACACAAATATTTATACCCATTGTCAGATGCTGCTGGTGGTTGCTCGTGAGTAACCAGTCAGGACTCTTTACAGTGCAGATCTACAAAGTTCATGTCCGTCTCAGTCACTTGCAGAATCTGGGAGTGGCCCCTTCCGGCTTCTCCCCCAACATAAGAACTTTGACACCCCAAGCCTCCTCCTCACCTCCTTGCGTTTCACCCCTCTGCGCAAGCTGGGCGACAGAAGTGGCGTGCGTCCCTCCTGGCCAGCCTGGCGAGGTGAGGCGCTGCTCCTCAGGAGTTTCGGAGGCTCTCTGTAGCCCAATGGCCCCCCTGCATCCCTCCCCTGACACCCATCATTAAAATGCACAATAAAAGAAGACAATTAAAATGTTCAAGTAAGTGTCTGTAATTAGAATGTGCAGCAAAGTAACCCCATTGAAACAACACAACAATGAATGGGCAGAAAACAATCAAGCAATGTGTAGTAGAGAATCTTTGTGCTGTCTAAGTGGAGGACCTTTTCCTTTTTCCTTCAGGGTCCTCTGTGTTTTAAAGATGTCGCTGTGTATTTCACAGAGGAGGAGTGGGCGTTGCTGGATCCTGACCAGAGAGCTCTGCATAAGGAAGTCATGGAGGAGAATCGTAGGATTGTGGACTCTCTCAGTAAGGATTCCTGCTGGATCATAATCTTTTCTTCCTCCACAATTGCCTTTTAAAACCATGATCAGGCTGATCTCAGCTGCCCTTGAGAGCCAGTGTGGTGTAGTGGCTAAGAGCGGTAGTCTCATAATCTGGTGAACTGGGTTCGCTTCCCTGCTCCTCCACCTGCAGCTGCTGGGTGACCTTGGGCCAGTCACACTTCTCTGAAGTCTCTCAGCCCCACTCACCTCACAGAGTGTTTGTTGTGGGGGAGGAAGGGAAAGGAGAATGTTAGCCGCTTTGAGACTCCTTAAAGGGAGTGAAAGGCAGGATATCAAATCCAAACTCTTCTTTGTTTCCTGCTTGGCAGGGGGTTGGACTCGATGGCCCTTGTGGTCTCTTCCAACTCTATGATTCTATGATTCTTCTTTTTGAATGTAGACTTCATCATGGGGACAGAAGATGAACCTGCTTCTATCAGGTTTATTAGTTTTTCTTCTGCAACTTATTGGTTTACCAAAGAGAAGACTGAACTTGCAAATGGTGCAGATTACATTGAGCCAAACAAAATCCATCCTGGAAAGTGCCAGGCCTTTTGAATCTCAGGTTTCCATCAATATGTCTCTCTCTTAATGCCAGTCAACAAAGGCATTCATTAACCCTGTAGTAAAACCGCAAATCTAACTCCCTTCTGTTATTTGTCTGTCACAAGTGTTTATTAGCATTGTTTAATAAGTTGGGGCTCCATTTCTTCCTGAGACTCTAATCTTCCCTCATTTTTGCAGGTGGTGATGGATTGGAAGTTATGAACAAGGGAGACCACGACAAATTACACACAGTGGGGAAGTTGTATGAATATTTGGAATTTGGAGAGAGCATCAATCGCAGCTCCGATTCCACTTCCTATGAAATAAATCCCATTGGAAAGAATCACTATCAGTGCTTGGAATGTCAAAAGACTTTTAGTCGGAAGGATAGACTCACTTCCCATCAAAGAATTCATACAGGAGAGAAACCATATCAGTGCTTGCAATGTGGAAAGAGCTTCAGACAAAGGACCCATCTCACTCGCCATCAAATAATTCATACAGGGGAGAAACCATATGAGTGCCTCGAATGTCGAAAGAGCTTCAGTCGGAGGTCCGATGTCATTTCCCATCAGAAAATTCATACAGCGGAGAAACCATATCAGTGCTTGGAATGTGGAAAAAGCTTCTCTCAGAGGGCTAAGCTCACTTCCCATCAAAGAATTCATACAGGGGAGAAACTCTATCAATGCTTGGAATGTGGGAAGAGCTTCAGTCACAGGCAGGGTCTCACTACCCATCAAAGAATTCATACAGGAGAGAAACCATATCAGTGCTTGCAATGTGGAAAGAGCTTCAGAAAAAGGACCCATCTCACTCGCCATCAAATAATTCATACAGGGGAGAAACCATATCAGTGCCTCGAATGTGGAAAGAGCTTCAGTGTGAGGGCTCACCTCTTGGCCCATCAAGTAATTCATACAGGAGAGAAACCCTATAAGTGCTTGGAATGCGGAAAGAGCTTCTCTCAGAGAGCTAAGCTCACTTACCATCACAGAATTCATACAGGGGAGAAACCGTATCAGTGCTTGGAATGCGGAAAGAGCTACAATCACATCTCCAAACTTACTTGCCATCAAAGAACTCACAGCGGGGAGAAACCGTATCAGTGTTTGGAATGTGGAAAGAGTTTTACCCATAAGGAAAGTCTCACTTCCCATCAAAGAATTCATACAGGGGAGAAACCCTATCAGTGCTTGGAATGCGGAAAGAGCTTCCATAGGAGCTTCATTCTCACTTCCCATCGAAGAACACATAGCGGGGAGAAACCCCATCAGTGCTTGGAATGTGGGAAAAGCTTCAGTGAGAGGGCTAAGCTGGTAGCCCATCGAAATATTCATACAGGAGAGAAACCACATCAGTGCTTGGAATGTGGGAAAAGCTTCAGTAGCAGATCTAATCTCACTTCCCATCAAAGAATTCATACAGGGGAGAAACCCTATAAGTGCTTGGAATGTGGAAAGAGCTTCAGGCAGAAAGCTCAGCTCACAGATCATCAAAGAATTCATACAGGGGAGAAACCATATCAGTGCATGGAATGTGGAAAGAACTTCAGGCAAAGGGCCCAACTCACTTCCCATCTAAGTATTCATGAGGGGAAGAATCCACATCAATGCTTGGAATGTGGAAAGAGCTTCAATAGGAGGTCTCATCTCACCTGCCATCAAAGAACTCACAGCGGGGAGAAACCATATCAGTGCTAGGAATGTGGAGAGATTCATCTGGAAGATAAGTCTCACTTCCCATCATACAATTCATACAGGAGAGAAACCATATCAATGCTTGGAATGTGGAAAGAGCTTCAGTAGGAGGTCTCATCTCACCTGCCATCAAAGAACTCACAGCGGGGAGAAACCATATCAGTGCTTGGAATGTGGAGAGATTCATCTGGAAGATAAGTCTCACTTCCCATCAGACAATTCATACGGGAGAGAAACCATATCAATGCTTGGAATGTGGAAAGAGATTCAGTAGGAAAGGAAGTCTCCCTTTCCATCAAAGAATTCATACAGGGGAGAAACCTGATCAGAGCTTGGAATGTGGAAAGAGCTTCAAATGGAAGAAACTTCTCACTTTCCATCAAAGAACTCACAGCAAGGAGAATCACAGTATTTGAAGATGGCCATCACATCTCTTAATCTCCTCTTTTCTAGGCAAAACATGCCCAATCCCCTCAAACTGGTTTATGCCCAGTATTTTCCTTTCTCTTCCCCGGCTCTGACCTTCAACAGGAAGGACTGGTGGTGAAGAGAGCACCTGTGGCCCACATCTCTTCAGCTTCCTCCCAGAGTCTCGCAGTCCCATGATATACATTGTCCGTGTTAGTATTATTTGTACCCACATGAATCAGAAGGAAGGAGTAGGGGTCAGTTGGCTTTAAAAGACATGGCAACTTCTCTGTCACATTGTGAATCTGCAGACCGTCTGGGACATCCTCTTTTCTCCACACACTACTTCTTCTGCCCCCTCAGTAGGGAGTCACCTATCACGTCTCCTCCTCTGGGGAGTGGCAGGAATTGTTTGATATGCTGTACCTTCCAAGACCTCCTTGGAGTATTCTATGGTCTACAAGTGCTGTTCTGGAGTTCTTGTCTGTTGGAGTTGCCTAGTTCATTTCCTTGGAAGATAGCAAGTGGGTTATCAGCATACTCATCCATGATCAGTAGCCGCGGATCTGAAGGAGTTAGGTCAAGAATGAAAAAGGACTCCTCTAATAATACTAATACTAATATTACATGACAATTTATTATTTTTACCCTGCCCCAGCCACTCTGAGCAGCTTCCAACAAAAGAGTAAAAATACATTATGACATCAATCATTAAAAACTTCCCTAAACAGGGAAGTCCATCTCCTCTTGTCTCTTCCACCTCTGGGGGGTGGCCGAAATCATTCTGGGCTCTGCACCTTTCACAGCCACCTTGGTGTATTCTCAGGTCGGCAACTGCTCTCCTAGCTCCTCTGGCCCAGAACTGGTGTCCAAGGTGAGAGCGTGGAAGCCATTCTCCAGCTCCAGTGACAAAGCGTGGTTCGTGACTGTCCTACCTCTGTGTTTCACATTCCTCCAGGGGTTGGTCTTTTGCAGTGGGCGATCTTCCTCCAGCCTGGGGCCACCCCATCTGTGTTGCTGTTGCATGACAGTCAACCCAGCTCTATCCAGAAACTCGGCATGTTGTCCTGTAGCTCAAAGCATGGCTAGGAAGGCCTCAAGTTGCTGTAGCTTCTCTTCCAGCAAGACAACCAGTTTGCACTTGCTGCAGGTATACAACTGTATGTTCTCCGGCAGAAAGACAAGCATGGCACAGGGGTTGCAGGTCACTGCAGCCGCTCCCTCGCCCTGCATGTCTCTTGGTCCTATGCACGCCAGGGGACAATACTCTGGGCCTCCCCCTTAAATGCCCTCGCAAATGCCTATGTTTGGGAGGCCTCTTCGTGAGCTCCCAGAAGCTGCAAGGAGCCAAGTTTGACTGCTGCTGGTTGCTAACTCCTTCCTCTGCTCATTCCTCCCAGGAGCCACACCCTCAGGCCTGCAACCAACCAAGCCTCTAGCACAGTGGTTCCCTATTAGCTAATTAGCCCCCAAAAAGCAACAGATTTTAGATATGCTATAAAAGAATACCGTAAAAATTGTGATATTGCCACAAATTGCCTATCCCCAGACAGTAGGAAAAACCTGTCTCCATTGCTGCACTACAACTGAATCTTTTTAAAAAAGCAATTGTGTCTCTAACTTGCAAGTGTTGAAAAGAAGGTATCACAATGTTGAAAAGAAAGTATCGCTCAGCCCTAACACTAAACTAAATCATCAGATGGTGAGCTATTCTGCTAATCATCATCGCTATTTGCATAGCTATTTTGCCTGTTGGGCTTCCAAGAGGCAATACTTGCCAGGACCAACTGTTTTCACATATAAGGACCTGAGAACAGGCTGGGAAGCCTCCTTCATGCTGCTTCTTATACAAAGGAAAATAGGTCAGACTCCAAACCCTGACCCTGACCCTAACTGGACTTGCTCTTATTCCCTTGGCTCTGTGATTTATTTAAAGGTCTTCCCTCTGCTGGGTATCAGCCAAGTGGTGTAGAAGTAAATCCTTGCCACAATTCACTGGAAAGCTAAATCTGCGACTCCCTTGGAATAATAGGGAGAAGATAGGACTACTCTTGCAATATATGAACAGATTGCTTTTAGACGTAGATTGTGTACGGACAAATAGAATGGTGTTTGGAATGCATTGCTATAAAGCACAGTGACTTGCTCATAGTTTTCTTCTATATTGCAAAGTATCAGTTTCAAGCAGTTTGCTTTGTTCTGTTTTGACCTTTCTCTGACTTTTTACACTTCATTTCTCTTCCCAAAATGTTCAGTAAAACATAAATATTAAAAAGAGAGAAGTTGGGTGGTGTATTTCTTTCTGGTTTTTTACCCCGTGGGGAGATCCATAAAAGAAAAAAATGTCCCCCATTTATTTCTAATTGTGCAAAATTGTCCAAATGTGGGCACGGAAGGCTTTTCTTGCCATTTATTTACATGGAAGCAAAACCTTTTTTTAATTTCTTTCCCTTCTGGGGCTGTTGCTAAAAAAGTGAGTCATCAAAGGTGGTAACAAGAATATGGAGAATATATATATATATATATATACATACACACACACACACACACACACACACACACACACACACAAACACACCGTATATATGGGACGCAGGTGGCGCTGTGGGTTAAACCACAGAGCCTAGGACTTGCTAGGACTTAGAGAGCCAGTGTGGTGTAGTGGTTAAGAGCAGTGGACTCTTAATCTGGGGAACCGGGTTCGCGTCTCCGCTCCTCCACATGCAGCTGCTGGGTGACCTTGGGCTAGTCACACTTCTCTGAAGTCTGTCAGCCCCACTCACCTCACAGAGTGTTTGTTGTGGGGGAGGAAGGGAAAGGAGAATGTGAGCCGCTTTGAGACTCCTTAAAGGGAGTGAAAGGCGGGATATCAAATCCAAACTCTTCTTCTTCTTCTGCCAATGAGAAGGTCGGCGGTTCGAATCCCCGCGACGGGATGAGCTCCCATTGCTCGGCCCTGGCTCCTGCCAACCTAGCAGTTCAAAAGCATGTCAAAGTGCAAGTAGATAAATAGCTACCACTCCGGCGGGAAGGTAAAAGGCGTTTCCGTGCGCTGCTCTGGTTTGCCAGAAGCGGCTTAGTCCTGCTGGCCACATGACCCGGAAGCTGTACGCCGGCTCCCTCAGCCAGGAAAGTGAGATGAGAGCTGCAACCCCAGAGTCGGCCACGACTGGACCTAATGGTCAGTGGTCCCTATATATATATATATATATATATATATATATATATATATATATTCCAAAGTAAAACATTAATCCAGAGAGGAATAGAATGGAAACGGAATTAAAAGAGAGAAAGTAAGAGAGAGGAGAAAGAGTAAGAGACGGAGAGAGAGACTTTAGAAGGTAAGGATATCAGGATATATTTGTGGTGCTGCTGTGGTCACTTAACAAGCCAGGCTCCCTGGGGTGAGCATACCACAGACAGGGAGCCACCACAGAAAAGGCTGGTTCTCATCTTGTCACCCTCTGAACCAGTGGCGTAGCGTGGGTTGTCAGCACCCGGGGCAAGGCAAGTGATTTGCGCACCCTAGAGTGAGTGAGCCAGGTAGGGGCAGAGAGCTGTGAGTGTGAGCGCGCCCCCCCAGATGTTGCGCCCGGTGCGGCTGGCCCCCTCTGCAACCACCACGCTACTCTCGGGGAGAGGGGACATAGAGAAGGGCCTTGGGTGATCCTAGTGTTGGGAAATGAAATTGTCAGGGAGGCAGATTCTGAGTTCCAACAGATGCTGGGGAAATCGAAGCCTCCCAGGACTACTATCTCTCTCCTTTGAGGAGAGTTCATCTTCTCTTGGAAGGCATCACCCAAGCCTTCAGTCTGGCTTGATGCTCTATGACAGACGCCCACTGTGGTTTCTCTCTCAACCATTTTTGCCCACATACTCTTAATCTGATTTTCAGGCTCCAGGTCATGGATTTCTTCACAAGTGTGCACATCCTTTATATATAATGCTACTCCTCCTCCCTTCCTGTTTGGTCTGTTCCTTTTGAACAGGTTATACACCTCAATTCCCACATTCCAGTCATGAGTCTCATCCCACCAGGTCCCAGTCATGCCTATAACAGGAGTCAGCAACCTTTTTCAGCCATGGGCTGCTTCACCGTCCCTCAAACCATGTGGGGGGGACGGACTATATTTTGGAAACAAGAAAAAAGACCAAATTCCCATGCCCCACAACCGAGAGATGCATTTTAAATAAAAGGACACATTATACTCATGTAAAACACACTGATTCCTGGACCATCCACAGGCCGGATTGAGAAGGCGATTGGGCCGCATCCGGCCCCCGGGCTTTAGGTTGCCTACCCCTGGCCTATGTGGTCAAATCTGCCATCCTGTCTTAAGAGCTCTGCTTCTTTCCCATCCTCTGGGACAGGCATGTGTACATGCAAACCTGGCAGACTTTCATCTTGGTATTGGCAGTTAGCATCAGATTCTCCCAGACTCTCTTGGATCACTCCCTATTGAATTTTACATGGAAATTCGGGATAATCCTGTATTCTACAAAACAGGAGTCCCAAGCAGGCGGCATCTTCCGGGCCGGGAGCCGCCCTCGCTTTGCCTCCTGCCCTTGTTAACGGAGAAATCTGAGGGCTCCCTTGGATAAAAAACAAGGACCCCAGCCCGGAATACCAGAGCAAAAGAGCAGCCAGCAGGCTTGGTCTTGATTGAAGACTGTTGCCACAGGACTCCCACCTGCCACCAGGTGGAACAAG